TTAAGCTTCTTATTTTCCTGTGACCGACACCAGTGGATACTGTGTTATGCCAAAACCAACAGGCTGTAAAGCACCTTGTTTCATGCTCCCAGCTGATCAATATTTTTATTTTCCAGGCTTGCCCAGAAATATGGAGGCAGTATCACCTAACAGTAAGTAGAAACACCTTTTTTATTTTCTTCTACCCCCAGCCTATTTACTCTTCAGTGAACTGCTGACCATAAAATATAGACAAGAATCTTGTGAAGGAAGATAATAAATATCTGAAGAGGTTTTGCACTGAAGAATGCAAGAATATACTATGCTTCTTCCCCCAACTTTCTTTGAAAACAGTTTATATAACAGTTTTCTTTGAAAACTGTTTATATAACAGAAATCATTCATGTTGGCATCGTGTCACTTTGCTGCCTATAACTTCATCAGTAGCACATAATAGTATAATAATATCTCATGGAAGCACAGAACAGTACTGTTTACAAGTATCATGATGATTCCCAAGTACCAGCATCTATTTGCACATTGTCCAAGGAAAATGATTTTTACAACATTTTTACAACTTGTATAGAATGGGAAACTATCATAAGTTTTATCAGTTGAACCTTGTTTAGGAGCCTTTACTTACAAAAATAGCTCCACAACAAATAATCTTCCGTCTTCCTACTGAGCTTGTTAAGCCCAGACAGAAACTAGGGAAATGCGGGCTGTCCATTTGGTTTACGACAAGATTAAATGTTTTGTGTTCCAAAACTTTATGCAAGTTTATATTTGGCTTCATAGTCCATATAAATACTGAGATTCAAGTTGATTATTCTTGTTTTCAACAGATCATTAAGTGGTCAACAGGCTCAAGCTTGCAAACATCTACCTTCTTAGGTTATTTCATTTAAAGAAATACTGTTGGTACATGTGCTTTCCAGTATGTTTCTTTTGACATTTTAGGATGATAAATCTTTCCCAGTTTCTCCTTAGTTAAAAATGCTTTTTTAAAATAAGTAAATATGTGAGGTTTCCTTTTTTTTTATTTACACATATTCTTTGAGTTATCAGTGAACTTCAAAAACCATTATATGCTGGAAGTCATTCATTATGTTTCAGGAAATTTTTATTCAGTATCTTTACTCAAATTGAGCTTTAAACATGGAGAAATTACTTCAATATTTAAAAAAAAAAAAATCTTTAGTCCCACTTCTGGGTACTAATCAGTTTCTTGAAAGAGATTTTTATCAAGGCAACAGGAAATATAAATTCTTACTTAAAAATTCATAGTAACTAGTTTGCAACAACTAGAACCATTCAGCTATTTTAGACAAATTTTGTAACTTCTTTCTTCATGTCTGTACTTCCTTGTAATGTTTGCAGTATTTACAGGATTCCCCTAAATTGGGGCAATCCTTTACAGAACACTTTCTTTGTGGGTTCCAGTGTTGAGGATACTTCATTGCTACAACAGAAAATTCATCTCATGGTTAACTAACTGGCTTTTGTTTTGTTTTAAAAAGTCTACCTTTATTTCCTTAAAAGTTTCTATTTCAATATTGCTGTAAAAGAAATCATATGAGAACATAACAAAAACAAAGCACAAGTAACCATATGATAGGATACAGTGTAACAAAGCTAAAGTAATGAAATGCTTAATGTAGTAGCTACCCAAAAAAGATGCACAAGTAAGTAGTCATTTGTATTTCTGTTTAGATACATACATATACTAAACAGTTTATTCCACACTTGTCACAAGTTTGGTTGAGCCTAGTTGTTAACGTCTCTTAATAAACCAGAATGTGAAGTATATATTGAATCTGCATAAACAGAACAAATTTTGAATATCGTACAAATATATACCATGTAGGTAATCTTTTAATCCCACTTATTATGCATGTTTGTCAAAGGGTTATATAAAATGTGTGGTTAATTTTTCATGCATAAGCAAAGTGTCCCTAATTAATCATTGTGAATGCTTGTTCAGATCAACAGAACAATATTTGTCACTGCTGAGGCTCTTGGTGATTTTATTCGTTTTGCCAATTTACTGAGAGATTGGGGTGCCATCTATCGACTCATTGAAACTATTGCACTCACATCTATCTTTAGTGCAGATAATGATGTGTAAATAGTGTATCCGATGGTTATGGGTTGTTCTTAGGTTTTGCTTGTGCTTAAGGTCTTTGAAATTTTAGCTCTTTGAAAGAGCTGGTGTCATAATGTCAGGCATACCTTTTCTGTATCCAAATGTCCTGCCAGAAAGAAGAAATTGCAAGAGATTATACAAGGGAGTGAGCGATTTAAAGCAATGTTTTAATTAATTTACTACATAATTTACTACTTAACTAATCATATTAAATTGTCATTTCTCTTTCCATTTTTTAAAAAAAGCTTTTCCTTTGAAAGTAGATTTTGCAGGTGGCTGTTTTATTTTTTTGACAATCAAGATGTTGTTTTAAATGCTCTTAAGCCTAGAGTGGCACCAAAGAGTTCACAAATTCAGAGTCACTTTAACTGAAGTTAAAGTGTATAGTTTGGTATACAACTAATTCCTTGTTTTATCTGTACTAGGTTCATGAATTATGCCCCGTTAAAGCTTCATATTCATATTTTACATTTTGAGTTGCAAATGTATCCTTGCCACATTTTCATTGGGAAGATAAGGCTTAACTTGAAGCTCCTTCTGTCTTCTGGCCTTCATGACTCCAAATATATTGACTTTTAGGAAAGAGTTAGAGAATTGCCATTTTGCATGTAGAAGATGGCTCCATGAAGCTTTAAAATGGAGGGGGGGGGAGGTTGGTTTGGATAATGTCCCCATTACATTTTCTGAAATGTACCCAATACCAACTAATACTGTCTATGATAACTGTTAGTAATGGGTGCATGTTTTTGGTTTTTTTAAAAGCTAGCTTGGATCCAAAGTGATCTGGGTCAGTGGCGAGGAGGAACCTGGAAGTGGTAGATTTTTCCTTCCAGTATCAACTCTTTATAGGATATTGCTCTGGATGATTTTGGGCGGCTTTTTAGGGGGCCTGGGAGGCTGTTGTCTGAAGGATGGAGATTAAAAGCTTCGGATCCCACCTATAATGTTTAACGTATCTTTCAGAATATAGTAGAACTATTTTTTTGCACTGTAATGTAACATGTTCCTAGTAATAAATAATTCATTACAATTAACAATAAATAACTTGCTTTCTAATGTTCTGTTTTCCAAGCAGAGAACAGCTTCTTTTATTTGACTCTATCTGTATTGATAAAAGTATGTGTATATATGGGGTGGATTAACTGCTCGCTAATATTGTCTCCATAAAGTTAAAAAATCTGGGAATATGTATAATGTACGTGGATTCCTTGCAATGCAATTGGAAGATGGCTATGAAAAATGTAGGGTAATACTGTATGGGGTAGAAAACAATTGAATGAAACATATACGGTGTCTTCATTGAAACGAACCAGGGTCAACATTTACTTACTTGAGGCTTCACATATATCGGGTACCGTATGTCTGGCATAAAATGAAACTGTGTAGGTGTTATAACCGTGTAGCAAATCATACTTAGGAATAATGTGCATGCACAAGTATATATATCCTGGCCTAAAATCTATTAGGCCTGTGGTGTGCTATATATCATTATGGACATTGCAATTGGAAAAATGTGTTTCATGTAGTATATAATGTGATTGTTTTTCTATATATATATTTTCACAACATATTTCTTTGCTGTGGAGCTGGGTTTCTTCTTCTTCTTCAGGGCATCACAGTCTCTCCCATTGCCTTGCTCTGGGCATGCAGTGAAACCCCCTCCCCCATCGCCTGCCTTTTCTCATTCATATCAAAGCCCCTCGCCCCAAGATGGCCACCAACAGAGTTTTACAGCCATCAGACTTTAACCACCAAACACTATCATTTAACACGCTTTTTGACAGTTTGTTAACCTTACTTTTAATCCACTTACATTAAAAATGGTGAACCAGGAATTGCTGTTTTCGTATGCGTATCTAAAAGACATGAAGACACAATACCTCTTTTGTGCTTAAATTTTGTGCTTGTATTTCTTTGTGTATGATCATTAAAATTCCGCTTGGTCTCCTACCTTTCTTTGAAATAAAAATGTAAGTATGCTTACTTTAAAATCTGAGCTGCACAAAGCAGCTGCTGAAATTAAGCATGACGTGTGTGTGTGTGTGTGTGTGTGTGTGTGTGTATTTCCCTCGATTTAAAGAAATTATAAGAAACTTTATCGTCCACAAGGCCCATTCTACAGAAGAGCAATGACTTAGCTTTTTGGCTGAATTACTCAGAGATTGGTTCCTCATAATCGCACCAATGCCTATCCTAGTCTGAACTACGACATTTGAACATATAAGCCTGCTAATTGTTGTTATATTATGGCGATGTTTACAAAAGGGCGGTCTGAGGTTTTCTTCGTTTGCTTTATTTAAAAGAATCTTTAAAATAGTTGTATGGCTTTTATCTAATTTTCCCCCAATATTTTGAAAATGTACACAGTATTTTGCCATCCTGTTACCCAATCCTATTCATGTTTACTAAGAAGTAAGTCCTGTAGAATTAGGTTGGATGTGCTTGGGAGTAAATGTGTGTAAGATTGTGGCCTTCATAAGATTGTGTTAGCTCTCAGGGCTCTCCAGTTGTAGTATTTACAATTCGTATAATCTATTTTAAAGAATTTATGTCATAATATTATGTATAATTTGGAGACTTTATCATATTTATTCTAAACTTCCCATGCCCAAATGCGTCTTTCTGACTAATTAAAATTCATTTGAAACTTCAGTTATCTTCACTTTATATGTGAATTTATGAAGAAAGAGTCATTTGTAGTTTGGGGTAGAGAAAATTGTCAGATTAAAAAGATAATTTATGCTAAAAATAAAACCTGGTTTCACAATAAATTCTACCTCTTTATTCAGTTGTGACAGATAGTTCTAGATAACAAAAGCTGCATTAGTTGACATTTTTAAAATCATTTTGCTGTTTATTTCCTGGAAGGCAATACTTGCATTTTACAGGTTTCCGTTTAATTCATAAAATGTATACTTGTCAGTGGCTTTTCAGTTAAATCGAGAAATCAAGAAAGAAATTAATTCAACATATGATAAGTAAACTAAGTTGAATTGATTTTGTCTTGATTTGTTTCAGGGTGATTTT